GACAGAAGAAGGGACAGCGACTCTCCTTGGGTTGTATTGTCAGGGCCCGCCTCTACCTCCCTGAAAATGCAGGCTATGCAATGCTAACTCAGCTCTCCCATGAGGTCACCTGATGGGCACAGTGGGCATACTGGATCTAGTTAAAAGAGCGCCAAGTTGGATTTTCTAGTCTCTGTCCTGGGCTTGAACCCAGGACCTCACACATGCCAGACAAGGGCTTTACCAATGAGCTACAGCCACAGACCAGCTTTCATTTTGAGACAGGCTCTTGTTAAATTGCTCAGGCAGGTTTTAAACTTGTGATCTTTCTGTCTCAGCCTCCAGGACAGATGAGGTTATTGGCCTTTGCCACTGAGCCTGGCAAGGAAAAAAAATTTAAAATATTGCTTATGTAATCTGGGGTATCTAGCCTTTTGACGTTGAGATACAACATTGAGGTTGTGATCTGCAAACACACTGGACTACATTGCTGTATACATCTGTCAGAATACATTAGACGGATCTGTCATATCCATTATTTACACACGTGTATGTGTGTGTATAAAAAAATGGTAGGTCAGGTGGTGGTGGTGACGACACATGATCTCAACACTCAGGAGGCAGAGGCAGGAGGATCTCTGCAAGTTCGAACCAGATTGGTTTACAGAATGAGATCCAGGACAGCCAGGGCTACACAGAGAAACCCTGTCTGAAGAACAAAACAAAACAAAACAACAACAAAAATGGTTTGTAGTTTTCTTCCATCCTTTAACATGAGGAAACACTGCTCCCTTTAAACACTTAGGACTGTCTGCTGTCAACACATCTGACTCAGTAGACGAAGCCCTGCACCAGCACCCTTGTAACTAGGGTCAGAATTACTGAGACCACTTTCTAGGCAGAAGAGTCAACAGCACTGAGCTTACTTTCATGGCATTTAATCCCATAAACATCAATGTTCGGATCAAACTCGCCAGGAGCCAAAGGTGGTGAGCTGTTGAGTGTATTCCCAGGGCTGTCGGGCGGAGTCCCGATTGGGTGGGTGCCATCACTCTCTCCCTCCTCTTCACCTTCGTTCTCCTCATCCTCCACTTCTTCTTGCTCTGCTCGCTCCACATCATGGATTCCCACCAGGAGGCTGTAGTCCATGAGTTTTAACTGTGCAAGGAACTGGAAGGGAAGGGGAGAGGTCAGTTCCAACTTAACAACTGCTAAAATTCAAAGAATTTAGGAGAATTTAGGATCAGAAGAACACACATTGGAGGAGGCTGCAAGGGAGCGTGCAGAAAGAATGCTAATGGGGACCCGGGAGCCTCCTTCATGTGGTTTCAACACCTTAGGCACCTAGGGTTATTGGACCTCACCCCTAAATGCCAAGCTGGCTTCTGAGGCGGGCAGCTATTATGTAGAAGTGGAGGTGCTCCTCAGAGCATAAGTAGATGCCAGGGAAGAGCCCTGGGAGCGGTGGTAGGGAGGCTCATCTCAACAATGAAGACTGGCTAATGGGGAGAAGCAGGCAGTCCCCAGGTGGGTTCCAGCAGAGCTCCCAGGAGCCTTCTGGAAAGCACTTGGAATTGAGCACACTCCTAGTGGGTAATTAACATGCTGTCTGCCACCAGTAAGGAAAACCCGTATGTCCCTATCAACCAGTGAGTGCTCAGGTAAGCGCCACGCTCCCTCTGTGCCCACTCCAGGTCTGTCTGATGACAATGCTAAGGTGCTCTGCTTCCCATGCGGTCCCAGGGGTACTGCCCCCCTTTTCCAGACAAGGCTATGGTGTCTGGTGAGGCAAGGCCCAGCTGTAAGTCTGGCCCCTCCCGCCTGTCAAACTCCCCGACTTTCCATGTTCGTTCTTCTCCCTTTCATTTTCCTAATTAATTGGATGCACACAGATACATGACGTGCAACGTTCCAATTGATCCACTGAAGTGTGGACGGCTGCGCTGAAAGCAGCCCGAGCAGCCCATCTGCTGGCTGGCCCTGCAGAGTGCAGCAGCAAGAGGCGGAGGGCCACAGCTCCTTGAGAATGTGCCATCACTCTTGCGTGATGGAGGAAGTGTGCTTCCACACACAAAGGGCACGCCTGTGACATGGCAGGTCAGGAGGTTCTGGATCAAAATGAAACGAACGTGTCTATATAATTTAAGTGGGAAGACAGGTATGAGTCAAGAAGAGACACATGTGGGAAAGGCTCCTGACTCGCTGGCTCTCGTCTCTCACTAACTATTGCAAATCACTTTGGTGGTTCAGTAGAATGAGGGGGGCATTAAAACCAAAACTTGTGGGTAGAGTCCCAACGAGAAATCACAGGCAGACATATAGCATGGAGTCATCTATGTACATATACCATGGAGTCATCTACGTACACATACCATGGAGTCATCTATGTACATATACCATGGAGTCATCTACATACATATACTATGGAGTCATCTACGTAAATATACCATGGAGCCATCTACGTACATATACCATGGAGTCATCTATGTACATATACCATGGTGGTTAAACAACAGAAAAAGGTGTAGTTAATGGCCTACAGGTAACCGAGAATAGGCCTGGTCAGCCTTCATGGGGAATCTTGTGAAAACAGAAGATTAAGAGGCAAACTCAGCCACTGCTCAGCCTTCGTGGGGAATCAAATTCATTCTTTGGCGGCTTTAGTCATTCAAATTGTTTTTGCTTAAAGACATGAGAAAGAAAATCTTTCCACAAAACCTTTCTCCAAGTATTGTCTAAGTAGCAGATCTCAGTATGCAGGGAACAGTATTTCAAAGTAAAAAGAAAAAAGGGGCACATGCATGAACAGAAGTAACAGGCAAGAGAAACCTAGTGAGTAACTGTCTGCTTTAAAATTATCATTGTACTGTCTTGACAAATTACAAGACAATAACTCCCCCTCCCTGAATTTACTTCTAAAAGAAGGAAATAAGGAAGCCAAACAGGAAAGATAAACAAAATGATAAAAAGATGTTTTAATTCTTTAAAAAAAAACAGTATTAAGAACAAATCTCTTTTATAATAGGCTAAAACCTCACTGGAACAATGAGTCCTATTTCTTGCCACCCTCACTGAGGACCATGGACCCAAACAGCTCCATGCTGAGTCCTTGGCATTGCAAGGCTGGTTCTTTGGCCTCATGGTGTCCACACAGCTGGTGGAGACAGTGAACAGAGGTGAGGCTGTATATACCAACATGGAGATATAATTCAGAGGGAAGTGTGACAGACTCTGAGTCACCAGTGTTCCTGTCTGACATGCTCTGGTTTTAGAGTGAAGCCAGCATTCCTGCCCTTCCCATACTGGCTGCTGTTGGTAGGACATCTTCACTACCAAAGGCCGGGGACAGCAGGGCTCTCTGGTTTTGGTCATCCTGACTTGACACACTTCACCATAAAACCAGATCCTGTAACATGGGGTCTATCTATTTATATTTGAGTTATATGTGAGTCACAGCTAATGTAGAATATATACATTTCTGCCTTCACTATAGATTTGAAAAGATGAACTAAATAGCCAGGAGAGTCGAGCGTGACCCAGTGGCATCTCCTTCTCACCAGTTTTTCTTACCTCGACATCCTTTTTCAGTTTTTCCAGGAATATCTTTTTGTTGCTGTCATCAATATAAATCTTTTGGCCCTCATTGATGAAGTCATTATCCTTTAAAGTTGGAAGCTCTTTGGCCTAGAACAAATGAGAAGAAGAGGGAAGAGCTTGACTAAAGCCTAGAAGCCATGTGTTGTCTCCAACCTGGACACTGAAGTTTGTTTCACCCACCGAGGCAGGGGCAATGAAGTGTAAGGTTGCTTGACAGCATCAGGGGAGCCAGTGTGCTGTGAACCACTGGAAAATTCCTACTGGGGGTCAGGGGCTGGCACGCTCCCCATCAGTGACACTTCATGATCCATAGGAATGAACCTGATGGCTTCCTTTGGCTCACTTTCTTACAAGAAACTCCCCAAGTAGTTAACATACATATCGTACAACCCGACACTACCCTCCGACACTCTTGGGCAGCCTAAACGGAATGCTGACTACAGAGTGCCTTCTTGTCTCACAGAGTCCCAACCATGAGCTGTGTGCATGCAACCCGAGGCTCGGCAGTTGCTCTCCACCACAGTCAGGAGGGGAATTTCCACTGGGCAACTCCAAAGAAATAATCTTGTACCAGACAGTGGATTAAGCTGGGAAATTTTACCCTTTACAAGTAACCAAGAGAACGAGCAGGCGGGTAATTGCACTTCTGTTCCCCAATGCAAGAGGGCTGGAGAAACTCACAGTGCATGTTACAGCAGAGAAAAAGCATCAGCCTGTGCCCAGGCACACAGAACTCAGGCATCTAGTTTTAAGATTATGTGGATTGTATTTGGTGCAATCTGCACTCTGGGAAAGTTCAAAGGCCAAACCACCTCATCCACCCCGATTCCTTTCTGTTAACCATAGCTTATTTCTTTCAGCTGCAAGGAATCCAATATAATACACTGCCCCCTTTGGTCTAATACTGATCCCCAAATGGTCCTTTTTCAGACATTTCTCGCCCTTCAAATGTCTGAATGGTACACATCTCCCTTTCATTTTATAAAGAGCACAAAGGTATGCAGACATACATCGTCCAGTATGGATGCAAATGTATACTGTACCACGCATTTCTAAATTACTAGCTTTGCTTATTTTGCTTCACTTTGAGAAGAGAGCATTTTGGGTATATTGTGACTGAAATCATCATCATCATTCTCTTTACAAAGAAGGTTTGGCAAGTTTTAGAAATTCAAGGGTTCTATTCCATAGGCAATTCCTGAGTTACTGTCAGTCAGGGATGTTACTTGTACTGGATTTAGAACTGTAAACATAAGGGGGGGGAAGAGAAAGAGAGAGAGAGAAGAGAGGGAAGAGAGAGAGAGAAGAGAGAGAGGGAGAGAGAGAAGAGAGAGGAGAGGAGAGAGAAGGGAGAGAGAGGGAGAGAGGAGAGGAGAGGAGAGGGAGAGGGAGAGGGAGAGAGAGAGAGAGAGAGAGAGAGAGAGAGAGAGAGAGAGAGAGAGAGAAGAAAGTGCATGTGTACATATGCATGACTGTACAGGCTCTCCTGTCTCCACCCCCCCCATCTCCCCCACAGTGCTGAGGCTACAGAAGCACACCGCTGTGCCTGGCTTCTACATGGGCATGAGGGATTTGAACTCAGATTCCCATGCTTGCACGGTGATGGGGGAAGGACATTGGTTAATTATAATAAAGAAACTGCTTCGGCCCTCATAGGACAGAAAATTAGGTAGGCGGAGTAGACAGAAGAGAATTCTGGGAGAAAGAAGCTTAGTTGAGGAGTCGCCATGATGCTCCCACGCCAGACAGATCCTCCCTGGTAAGCCAGCTCGTGGGCTACAAAGAATATTAGAAATGGGTTAGAACAATATGTAAGAGCTAGCCAATAAAAAACTAAAACTAGCCAGGCCAGGCAGTGTTTGAAAGAATACAGTTTCCGTGTAATTATTTCGGGCATAAGCTAGCCATGCGGGCGGCCGGGTGCCGGGGACACAGCCCTGCCGCCGCTCCTATTTCAACAGCACGGCACTTTATCCACTGCGATATCATCCCAGCTCCCCAGTGTTTTGAGGTGAATGAAACATAAACCCTAAAGTTTTAGCAAACTTCACTCTGAAAGCAGTAAGAGGAAACACCCGATTCTGATGTTAAAAAAAAAAAATCAGGGCCCCGAGAAGCAGTCAGACCTCCCCATAAAGCCCAGGAGTCCGGGACTGAGAATCTCCAGGTAGACATTTTGAACGTCTTTGTGCAGTTATGCTTTGGGGTTATAGGGTGGGAGCTGGAGAGTGTTAGGGATTTAGGCATCCACTTTGATTCTATAACCCATTTATATATGTAAGAAATTACTGGAGAAAGATGTTTTTGTTTTTTTGGGAATTCAAGGCGTTTGAGGACTGAGATGATATGCCACAGATGACCGAGTAGATTACACCCTGGAGCTGTGTTTGGAAGACAAGTCACATTTATGAAGATGAATGCCATTTCAGGCTCACCCCAGGGGAATTCCCCCATGTGAGAGGGGAAAGTCTAATCCTACCTCATAAAACTCTGGGTACCCTGTACTATATTACTAAACTTGCTTGTGAATTTCACAGGCACTAAGGATGTGAATTATTTAGACTGGATCAAGTTCAGCAAAGGGTGACCAGATTGGTTAAACAACTTAAGGGCTTACTGAAAGGATCAAGAGGCAAAGGCAGGGCCTCAGCAGGGCAGCCGGGGGAGAGGAGTTCAATACTGGTGGGCAAATGCCCCTTTCCTAGATGCTCTCCCTAGTACAGTGCTTAGTAACACACCCAAATCCAGACCCCTCAGTGCAGGCAAGATAAGGCTGGATTCAAGGTGTGGGATCATCACAAGTGTGATGGACAAACACATCAGCACAGCTAATGACATACCCAGAGGGACCCTCCTCCCCACCATCGACCACTCCAGTGTCTGTATCTGGCATTTGGATAAAATAAGTGAGCACGTGACCAGTCCTTCACTTGCATGCTAGAATTGGAAAATGCCCAGCTATGGGCTGACTCTGCACCCCCACTTCTGTCCAGGGGATACAGACCAAAGCCTGTGGTTCTAGATACGGCTGGACCCAGGCTGGCTGTTAGGGTGACCTCAGCTGTCTAAATATTAGCTGTGTGTCTTTCAGCACGTCACTCCTTCTGTGACTTGGTTCTCATCTTTAAGTAGCAACAAGTAGAGGGTTGTCATGAGGATTGCACGCGTCGCACACTTTGAAGGGGCGGAGCAGTGTGTGCCACACATGGCTCCTGCGATTGGCTTGTCATGTCTGCGGGCATGGCTTCTTTAGACAAAGCTGTGACTGAGAAGTCCCGAGCAAAGCTATCCTTTCTTTTCTACACGATGTCACATCAAGCATTGCCTCACTAGCCATGACCCGGACCAGCTGCTTGGTCAGCCTCAAACTGCTTCCTCGGCTGAGTAAGGAAGTCAATCATAGCTACGTGATAGGGTTGGTGTGTGAACTGGAAGGCAACATACGGTGCTTGCCCACAGGAACTCAGAGTGTGTTTTCTCTCGGCCCCTTTCTTCCTTCCAGGATCGTAAAAGATAAGGTAAAACTTAGGCTGTCAATAATATGATTTCAGTTTTTCCTCGCTAGTCACATATCGCACGTGGGTTTGCAATGCAGCCTTTATGCTGAAGAACTGTCAGCAGGGCTGGCAAACTCAGTGTATGCAAGGGCTGTTGTCCAGGGCACATGGTGACACCTGCAGTGGCTCTCAGCGCCCTGCCTCAGCGGCTCCAGTCACACATGCTTGTCTCCCCGGCTAGAAAACCCGAGCTCTGCAGCAGGTTACCCGGCAGAAAACCCTGACTAGTAATCTTAAAGAAGCAAAAAAACAAAAACCAAAAACTAGAAACTCAAGAATAGAATGTGGCCGCATAATAAAAATTAGCTAAGTTACTTCTTGGAATACTTATTTAAATTTATGTAATATTTATTAAACCTATGGACTAAAATGTAATGCTTTTATACATACGGCCAAAGACAGGAATTTTTCCCCCCTCATGTTACTCTTCTATGGTTTGGATTCTCTTGGTGAATGTCTCATCATAGTGTGTGATTTAGTGATTGCTATTTTGCTGACCTAAAGCAAAAGTCCATGTGTAGTGGCCAGAAAATACGAACAAAGTAGAAGGGAGTTATAAATTGATTCGTAGGAGGTAGTGAACTCCCTGGGAACACTGACCTTGCGATGAGCCATGGGAGGACGACATCTGCAGAAACTGAAAGCTTTTGGCTTCTTCTACAGCCTACACTAAGCTCTCTCAGCAGTCCTCCAGCGAGGAGCAAACTATGCTGCAACACTGATCTAAGAGACAAACGAAGACGGCAGGAGAGTCTGCACCACATTCAGCATGGAGGTAAGTTTTTAATTAATTTTTATCCCCCCTGGCTTAATAAAAGAGATAAAGGATCCTTTAGGAGCAGATTTAGCCTGACATTTGAGACTTTAAAATGTTCAGAACAGCACACTCAATTTTAGATGTGACCACAAGCCTCTGTGGATGGCTTAGGAGACAAAGATGGAAGTGAGACGGACACCTGGGGACGTGGCAACCTCAGGGGAAGGAGGTGGGAGGCTTCAGACGCTTCCTGGGGAGCCAGGTAGACACGAGGCAAAGAGCAAGGCCCTGAAAATCTGTTTCGTATTACTTACCCTTTATTCTTAAAATGTAAAATTATGACTTTTTACAGAATCTCGGAATGTAAAACCAAAAATGTAAAGAAAATCTTTTTTTACCAATATAATATTTTTACCAATTTTTTTAACCAACATAAAAAATTTAGGGAAAGTAATTTTTTCTAGTGAGGATTCACTAACACATATACACATGTATGTATATGCACAACTACTGCTACTTGTGCAGAGTTTAATGCAGTCCATTTTAAGGCTTACAAGATGAGAAGTTATATATAGGCTTTTGTACTCAATTAAAAAATTATGTTATCTTTCAGATGATAATTTAAAAAATACTACAAGAAATTAAATTTGTGTCTACAGTCGCAACTATAACTCTAAAACATACAGAATTCAAACTAAAACATTGGGTTTTATTTTCATTCTGTATTTTCCAACTGTACTATAAATGGTGTTAGCAATAGGAAAGTGGGAAATGCATGTTTCTTAAGATTTAAATGCACAGAGCCCACAATCACATAACACAGAGCCTGCTTTTGTTTCAGTCTGCACACAAACCTTACTCGGAAGACGAGGACCTTGGTCACACTTGAGTGTTTAATGTAAACAGGATTTGGTACCAGAAGGTTTTAATGCAGAGGATTAGATGTATCATCGTACGTTGCGATTAAAGGACTTGTATTTAGAATGAAATGAATTTTTGTTTGATGTGCTCACTTAGTAACCTACTTAAATGTGTTTTTCACTGTAAGCCTCAATGTCAAAGATGGCTACTTGGTGTGTCTTTGATGGCTATTCCCGGGACACTTTAAGTCAAACAATTAAAAAAAAAAAAAACATGTAGTCACTGTTGTACTTGTGACTTCTTATGTTCCTAATTTACTTGTTATTCCAAGCTCACCTAAATGAAAATAAACTTATGCAACAGAATAAAATTCTATGCTTATCCTAAAAAGAAAAAAGAAAAATCAGTCTACAAGGTAGAAAATTCCCCAGAATGTTCCTGGAAGGGAGAGAATGTAGGCGATCCTCGCACTGGAGGCAGGATAAAACCAGTTGATGAAATAACATCACATGTATGGTATCAATTTTGGGTAACAAGAGATGCTAGGGATTTATAATAAAATCAGTTCCGCCTCCCCAAACAGCTAAGCCACAAATTCGATACATGAAAAGGCAAATTAGTGAATGTGGGTGAAGCTCACTGAGAAGAGGCCAAGGTAACAGGTGCTTTCCCACAACATGACATGTAATGACCTCCCTCATCCACAGAGGCAGATGTTGACCTAAGCACCTAGGTAGGGAAGCAGCCTACAAGACCCTTATTAACTTTTAACATCCACAGCGGGGGGGGGGGGGGGGGGGGGGGGGGGGGGGGGAGGGAAGGAGAATGGCCACTCTGTCAGCAGTGTCTGGATAGGACAGTTCAGATTGGAATCTGTTTATATGTAGACTGTGGAAAGAAATATACTCAGCACACCCATGAAACTGTGTTGTAATTAAAAGCAAACCATTGGTAAGTTTAAGTGTCATATTGCTATTTAGAACTGTTAAACTCTAGCTAGGGGCTATTTTCTCTATCTTAAGATAATGTAAAAAGAAGTTATTACTTAAGAATACTTTTATAGCCACGTGTAGTGGGTGCACACCTTTAATCCCCCTACTTGGGAGGCAGATGCAGTTTGAGGCCAGCCTGGTCTACAAAGTGAGTTTCAGGACAGCCAGAGCTACACAGAGAAATCCTGTCTGGAACCTCCAGGATTCAAGAAAAGATCAAATCGAAATAAAACAAACCACCAAAAACAAAACAACACCCCCCCCCAAAAAAACACAACCAACCAACCAACCAAGAAAAAAGAATTCACATTTTAATGAATATTAAGCAGCTATGTAAAAGGTGATGGTTTGATCTTCTTCCATAAATAACAATGTGGCTGTTAAACAATGGTCTCTAAGATCTACAAAATAGGACCTCAAAATAGGTTTGTTCCAGGGGCTGAAAAGTTGACTCAGTGGTAAAGAGCATGTGTCATTCTTCCAGAGGACCTGAGTTCAAATCCCAGCCTTCACTCAGGTGGCTCATATCTGCCTGCAATTCCGGTTCTAGGGAAACTCAAGACCTTTGACCTCTGCAGGTTCATGTGCACAGAACCACCCCCACACACATAATTAAAAATAAAAATTAAAAGGAAAAGAATAATATTAATAATTATTTTATTTATTTATTTTGGCTTTTCGAGACAGGGTTTCTCTATAGCTTTGGAGCCTCTCCTGGAACTAGCTCTTGTAGACCAGGCTGGCCTCGAACTCACAAAGATCCGCCTGCCTCTGCCTCCTGAGTGCTGGGATTAAAGACGTGCGCCACCAGCACCCGGCCAAGAATAATATTTATTAAAAAATAGGTTTGTTCTAATTCTGTGTCATGAATATTTAGTATTGGTGACAATGTGAGAACTCTCATAGACTGAAAACTTAAAAGGAAGTTTCTTAAGTCCTCTTGATTCTGCCTTAATATGAACATAGTAAACTTTACATCTATTGTAAGATCTGCACATCTGTAGCAGGCTGGCCTAAATTCAGAGCTCATACTACATGTTAGACATGTTCTCTCTTCCCTAACTTTGCTGGAAGTAAGCTGGCTTACAGGGCTTCCAACTTCTAATTGCAGAGCTCTGTGCGTTTCCGATGCTTGGCTGAGTACCCAGCACTTCATGTCAAAACTGCTGAGCAATTTCAATGCTGCCGTGTGTGCCAAATCTGGAAGATGCTCATGAGACTCAATGCATGAGCTCATCAGTTTTTCATATGCCAGGCTTACCAGTCAGGAAAAATTACAAGTAAATTAAAAGTTGGAAACCCCTACTTGTAAGCAAGGGCTGCAGCTTAGTCACAGGGTACTTGCCTAGCACACAAAAGACTCCTGGGTTCCATCTCCAGTATCTCCAGGACACAAGCAAAACAGCTCCACTTCCCAGAATACTCTCGGGGTTTCCTCAAAGTCTCCCCAGGGGCATTGCTTACACATTTGCTGATATGTCTTGGAATGTGTTTTCATCAGTGTTATCAGTCACTCTAAGCTTTTCATAGAACAAGTGTAATTTTGATGACATTTAACTGTGGTCTACTGTTGGCCAGTATTCCTAGAGGAATCTCCAGGAAGATTCCATTACTGGCATTTCCTTGCTTGGTCTTAAAGCTGGACTCAGATCCCTGACTCTCCGATGCAGCTGGTCCCAAACTCCCTTTTATTTTATAAAACATCTTTGGTCCACAGGACTGAAGTTCCTGCTATTATCTTTTAAGTTCTGTAGCAGGGGAAGGAACTCAATGACACAGTGCTTGCTTTGCATACAGAAGGCCTTGGGTTTGACTGCCAGTATTGCAGAAAAACAATTAAACACAATAATTTGTGCTTCTGTTTTGAAGGGAAAGTGTGCTCTGCCCTTTGGGTGTTCTTCATGCCGCCTAAGAAGGAAGGCAATTCCCTTCCATCCGGGAGAAGAGGAAATACAGAGTGTGTTTAAAGCAGAGCAGAGCAGAGAGTCCCCAATAACCTCCCTGAGCCGACAGGGTGCCCAGAGTGGAAAGGCATGCTGGAGAAAGATTTCCTGAAGGGCTCGCTGCTGCACTTTTTGTACCCTGCTCAGTGCCTGATACCCTCCGATCCTTGCCTATAAGTGCAAGGACTAGATAAGGATAGGTATTAGTTGTAATTGGGGGACCATTTAAAGACTTCAGAAGAAATGCTGAAAACTGGTTGGGAGAAGCAGTTTTAGGTGGGAGGGCATGGATGATTAATTCTACAATTAATTGTAGTAGGTAAAATGTCAGAGCCAGCGGCAGCCTCTTAATCGCCAGTGCAATTCGTGATACGTAAGAATCAACAAGGAGGCTTTCCGAGGCCCATTATCAACGACGATTATTGCCAATACAGCTCTGTAAATGCCAATTGCGGGGCAGCTGCTTTCTTTCCAATGGGTCCAGGGGAAAAAGTGGCGTGTTAAAAGGAATCTTCTTGTTCTGACCCTCTGACTCCCACCACACGGGATTCACTTCACCCGAGTTTGGAGACCTGTGTGGAATGAGGAGTAAAATACATATTTGTGTAAATCCCCGGGACTCTCTCTCTGGAGAACAGCGGCTTTTTAAAGAGTCAGGTCAAATCCCCTGGAGATGAAGTGAGTCCCTGCTGTGGAGCCGGCTAGCTGGCAGTGTGCTGGGACTGTCATTTGTAAAAAGCAGTCCGCCCAGCTATAATTAGGAATTTGATGTCACACTGGAATTGGAGCGCAGCTGTGAAAAGATCGACCACCAGGGAGATTCGCATTTCTCTGTCTCATTTAGAGCGGGTGAAACTGCTGGAGTCATGAATGGAAGATGCCCTTCCACTAAAAAGAAAAGAATTAGGGAATGAAACAAGTCATAGCAGCTGTCAGAATTTGACAATTTTTTTTTTAAAGAACTGTTCCCATAAAAAAAAAAACCCTCTAGACATCTGTACATGCATGTTCTGATACTTGTTGCCACAAAGTCATCCCATTATTGTTAGAATATGGGGACTTTATCTCCTCCAGTTCCATCCCCATTATTATGTTAATGCGAATCACACTAATTGTGTGTCAAGAAGAAATTCAAGGGATGGGATTTGTCTGCACCTATATCACTAAACACTGAAAATGACAGTTTCAAAACTTGTCATCAACAAGTTAACAGCATGGGAAATGAAATAATGGCTGCAGTGAACGGGTCCCGGAGAAGGGGCAGAACTGCGATCCCTAATGAAGCTGTATCGGTGGAGAGTCGGGTAAGGGCGCTCTGCAGAACGGCAATCACTCTGAACAAGACAGCAACACGCGGCAATTACAGCGGCAGTGACGAGCTTTCCTGTCTAAGAGGCTGAAAGATAGGAAATAAAGCATTCTTGGCCTTCCCCACGTACTTCAAACCACAGGTACTAGAGATTGTTCTGAAGGTGTTTAAGGTTTTACTCAGGAACCCCCCAAAGGGCTATGCTTTTAGAGAAGAGTCCAAACTATTAACTGATCCTGGAAAGAAGGAAAACCAATAACTGGGGAGGGGGCCAGGAGGAGGAAAGGAAAGGAAAACATAAAAAAAAAAAAAAAAACTAAAAGCCCAGTGTGTCCGAGTTCAGCTATGGCGATGCACTCCACTAAATGGTTGCAACTGAGTGTTTCTGGATCATCAGTATGCTCCCAGCTAGTGGACCACATTCTCCTGGGTGGCTGTCAATTTTGATGGCCTTTGCATCCCATATGTGCAGACGATTTCTCCTCCCCTTCCCAGTTAGAATCTGAAACATACATGGATAGGTAAGGTAGCCCTAGGAAGCCTCTGACCTTTCGGGGAGGAGCTGTCAGATCCCCAAACCTCCAACACAGTGCAAAGCCCTGTGCCTTCCTTAAGGCAAGAGTGTCAGCCTCAGTGACAAGAGTGTTTGCACAGCAGGAGGCCCAGGGCCCAGGACTGTCTGTGCACCAAATCAAACATGTGAAATCATGCATGAAGGTGGAGGAAATACAAATATATAAATGGGTTGTTTTGCTAAAATTAGTCTGAAACCAGACCATTTACTTAATTACTTAAAAAAAAAAGGACCCTGGGTAAATTGTTTTAGCACCATATTTAGCCTTCATGCAGGATGTGACTGAGTGACCCATTATTTCAGTCCCTGAGGCTGTGACAGTAACCATGAAAACACATGTTCGTGCACACACACACTTGTGTGCACACATGCACACACTTCTGAATGAACACAGCACAGTAGATGTGCAAATTCATAAAATTCAAATTGAAACAAAATAATATTCTAAAAGAAATTAAGAAAAAAATTAAAATCCTTGAGTCTAACTTTAAAGAGACAGTAAAGAGAAGACCCTTCTGAGGCTGGTTTGTAGGAATATTCAAGAATCCAGGCAAGTCTGTCAATCAATGCGTTAATCTGGGCTAGTTTAGATCTACATGCAGGAAGCCATTTCCAAATTCTTTTTTTTCTTTACTTAAAAGTATTTAATTTTGAAATGGAATCACATATGAAACCATTTTTTCTTATTTTGCTTAGAATGGCAGTTTTTTTTTTTAATTTAACAGCCCAAAGCTTATTTCTAGTCTTTCATTAAATAAATGTCTCTAATGACCTGTACTTCTGCCATAACCCAACAGATTTAAATTATCTATCCCTCTCTGTTTATTTGTGCTCCGATCTGTTATAGTTGTTCAAAAATCTTTTCAACATGTAACCACTTAATCCTAAATATCCACATCTCTTCCAAGTAATGACTTTTAACAAAATTGGGTCCAATTCTTTATGTCTCCATCTACCAATCTGAACTAATTACAATCTTCAAACTGACTTAAAACTTAGATCTCTCAGGAAGACCTCTGCAAATAGTCGCAACTATGAACTTAGTTGTTCATGACGAGCTGTTTCCTGTTAACATCTAATGTATCTTACAAAGCATAAACACACATGGTCGTTTACGGCTGTCACTTGGAATGTTTCACTAGCATCTAACCAACTCCCTTTTTGCTTTATCAATCCTATCGCAGCCTGGATCTTATTTACCAATACTGAAACATTACATTTTTAACTTTTAAAACTGAAAAGTTACTTTATAATGTCCCCTAGAGACTGACCCTTCAAGTCTGTAATTCTATAAAAGAAAGCAAATGAGATTCAAGTGTTACTTGATTTATAATCAGTCAGAAGATATGAAGATATAGTCCTTTATAATCTTTTCATACTTCACATTAAAAATCAAAACCAACTCCGACCTCATCTTACCACTGTATATTCAAAAAGAAATTTGAAATCAATATGTAATGGCCGAGAAAATGAACAGAGGCAAAGACCACAGTCAAGGTCACATATGGCGAGCTAGGGTAAAGAGGCCTCGGGACCCAAGTTCCTCAACCCCTGAGTTGGAATTTCCATTTCAGTTGACAGTACAGGCAGCTCTCTGTCTGTGCAGGGCCGGTTGTCTGTGACCCGTCTGTGCCAACTGCACACTTCACTAGTAGGTACAGCATCATGTAGTCACCGAGGAAGGTGCGGAAGGCATGCATCCCCAGGCTGCAGGGGTGCTGGCTGTGCTGGCAGCAGCAGGGGAAAGGGAAGGACCATACGCAGTGCTTCCCGGACAGGGAGGAGGTGTGATGGCGCTTACCTTTTCTTTGTCACTAGCTTCTCTAGCCACCGTGGAGCCCTGAAATACAAATAAATGGTCAGAATGGATGGACTTGCATGAGGAGTACCCAGTATGAGACAAACCCAGCTCTGTCCACCCTCAGTGTGTCCCCCTTGTCCCAGCAGCCCTCACCTGGTCTGTGGCTCCCCCTACAAGTGTTCTTGTCCACTGTTCACTCTTTTCCAACCCTACTCCTATCATTTTTGTCTGACCCATCATTCTCTCTGGTCCTGACCTTCCTGCTTGGAAACCAGAGAATCTGGCACCACTTGAGCAGTCACTGGTTAAACACTGATCAGAACCGTACCAGTGGCTAGACACGGCTGGTTTCACTATCTTCAAAAGGAAGATGTTGGCAACAAAAGCACAAGGAATGCCCCTTTGCCCGTGTCCTGACCTCCAGATGTGGAGCATCCCTGCACCACAGTGCTGTTCCCTCCCCGGGCAGTGACTGAAGGACAGTTCCACTGAGCTCCCAGCACACCCTCCGTGAGAGCGCTCTGACTCCCTTCAAAGCCACAGGCTTCCTGATGTCTCTTTTGTTCTAGGCCCTAGGCTGAGCACAGGGGTAAAAAGTGGAAGAAAACACAGCCCTTGATCTCCGGGCACCTAGTCGGCTGCACCAGGTTTCAAAAGCAGCCTCTCAGAGCTGTGTTAGCCAAAATGTCTGATGGGAGATGGGACGTTACCTCTGAGGTCCACAGGAGGTTTGGGGGGCAGGCAGAGTTCAAGCAGAGAAACTTGCCTTTTTGTGGAAGGTTTCAATTCAAAAGAAAAGTCAAGGAACACAGACAAGTTGATTCTTACATTAGAGTCCTAAATATGTGAATTCAGCAATCCTTACTTAATTCTTTGTGTTTCGCCCATGACAGAGTCTGTGTTTACTGAAGTGGCTGGAGAAGGACACACAGTTACAGATTCCTTTTCCCCAGCACCAGATGCCTGAACTGCTATGATATTCGTGAACTTGATCACTGTCGAATTCACAGCTATCATCCTGAACCATTAAAGTGGCCAATCATGAAGGGAACCCATATTTGACTTGAGCAAAGAAGTTGGTTAGCTTCAGAAAGAAAAACAGATTCTAAATGCATACAGCATGTCTGTTTCAGCAATGGGTGCTGCTCAGAGCCATTCTTCTGAAAGGAGCAGTTATGAATCAGTTACCTTCTTTTCCAGAACACATTTCTATTTGAGAAAACCACAAATGAACTGGAAAACACCTGCTCGACAGTGGATGGGCCGCAAGGGTCCGGATGAGCTGTGTTCTGTCATTCCACATGACTGACAGCATTTGAGGTCAGCGATTAAAATGCTATCAAATGAAAACCAGACTTCTGAGAAACTGTATTTGTCCTCAGTTTCCCCATGTGAAAGACTTTCAATGCGGCTGGTGCAGATGGTCACATGACTTTTGATACTGCATCATTCGATATGCTGACATTGGGATACTATATTAATTAAGAAACAACTATGTCAGGGCAGGAGAGATGGCTCAGCAGTTGAGAGCCCTGGCTGCTTTTTCAGAGGACCTGAGTTCAATTTCCAGCACCCACAAGTATCTATAACTCCAGTTCCAGAGGATCTGACACCTTCACACCAATGCACATAAAATAAATTAAAAAAAGAAACAAATATGTCTTCAGTGAGACATGTACGACTAAAACACCACACACGTGGACCAGTGCATGCAACTAACAACAGATCTTTTTTTTTAAAGCTATACATCTTTCCTTTTTTTTAAATATTTATTTATTTATTTATTTATTTATTTATTTATTTATTTATTTATTTATTATGTATACAATAGTCTGTCAGTGTGTATGCCTGCAGGCCAGAAGAGGGCACCAGACCACATTACAGATGGTTGTGAGCCACCATGTGGTTGCCGGGAATTGAACTCAGGACCTTTGGAAGAGCAGGCAATGCTCTTAACCGCTGAGCCATCTCTCCAGCCCAACAACAGATCTTAACAGGATACAAATTCCTCAGTGTAACAAGATTGGAGATATTACTAACTGTTAAGTTTTGGTGTATTATCAAACGATGTCTACAATTATCCGTAAAACTCCTCATCTCTCTTTTCCAACTATATATTTGTGTGAGTTCAGACTCTTTCCCACCAAACAATACTCAAACAAATAACAGCACACTATACTGACAGCAGGACCAGCTATGGCCTCCCCACTCTCTCACATTGGTGCAGACACTGCAGAGATATGAAGTACGGGGCGGGAGGGAAGCTGAGTGAGAATGGAAGGCACCATGTACAACATGAAACCCAAAGAATAGATTTAACTAAAATAAAATATGCTGGGTGGTAGTGGCACACACCTTTAATCCTAGCCCCACAGAGACAGAGGCAGGTAGATCTCTGGGTTTGAGGCCAGCCTGGTCTACAGGATGAGTTCCAGGACAGCCAGGGGTACACACAGAAAACCTGTCTTGAATAACCCCCCCAAAAAAAGAAAAGAAAAATCATGATGTTTGTCTGACTAATATTTCATTTTTAAAAAATAGTTATTTTCATAAAAATCCATTAATACATACATAATAGCTACCTTAAAGAATGAAAAGGTATTAATAAATATTAATATAAATTTCAATATTTTATAATTTTATGTTTAGTATTCTCATAAATTTCTTTTAAGCAAAGATTTTCTTTTTTTAATTTATGTGTAAGGGTGCGTGGGAGAGCCTGCAGGGACCAGAAGAGGGTGTTAGATTCCCCTGGAGGTGAAGTCACAGGTGGTCATGAGTTGCTGGACGCTGGGAACTAGCCCTCTGGAAGAGCAGCAAGTACAAGAGCCACCTCTCCAGCCCCTGCATCCATTTCTAATACTGCAGACATCCACAGACAGACCCTATACAAGGCAAACCTTTTAGGGTCCTCTTTGTGCATGTGAATGAGTTCTAAGAATAAAAAGATTAAAATCCCGATACTCAAGTACCACAGATCAAGAAAAAAAAAAAAAAAAACCCTTTTCAGGGGTCATAGGGTATTTAGCTCTGTGGTCCATAAAGTCTCTGTGGTTCCTGCTGAACTTGGTCACTATACTGCAAATGCACAGGTAAGACAGACTGCACACATGATACATCAATAAAACTTTTTTTAAAAAAACTAGAAACGCAACCCTCTCTTTGTTTCACCATGCAATCACACTACAGTTGGCTGAGTCTGAACTTGTAAAACTCAGATCATGCCGCTGCAGCCACATTTTTTCTATCTTTCTGCCGTCTTTGAGATGTCCAGTCTCTGGGATCTCCTGTCTCCTTTGTCGTGAATCTTCCCCCGTTTCTGGCACGCTCTCCACTGGTGCCCTCATGGGCACACCTTTCTTTACACCCTGCTTAGCAATGCAGGCCTTGCCAGCTGGGGGAACAGGCCTGCGATCTCAGCCACTCAACAAGCCGAGGCCGGGATTACTAGTCAAGGCCTATTTTGACTTCAGGGTGAATTTAATGCTGGCTTGGGCAACTGAGTGAGACCCTCTCTCAAAATAAGAAGAAAAAGGGCTGAGGCGATAGCTCAGCAATAGAATACTTGTTTACTGTTAACAAAATAGTGTGGCCTTCCCTGTTCATTTCTACCCACAGCGCTCATCATTTCCCTAAAGTAATAATAATAGTAATATGTATATATGTTTATATATATACACAATATATATAAAATGAAAAAATTATACTATATATATATAAAATCTTTAAAGATTTGTTCTGTTGTTTTTATTTATTTATTTACTGTAATGTGTGTGTTCTGGGCATGTGCAGGTAGAGTTCAGAGGCCAACTTTTGGGAACCAATTCTTTCCTTCTACCATGGAGTCTGAGGCGTGAACTCAGGTCATCAGGTTTGTGGGGCAAGTGCTTTTGCCTGCTGGGCTACCTTGCTGCCCCGGTCTGGCCCACTCAGCTATTCCCAGCACACAGACCACTACATGGCATTGGCTGCCATGACTGCAGCAGCATGAACTGAGATACAAACTCTAGGTGCATCTGAATTATTTCATTCACACAGTTAACTACAACATATACAATATGGACGGGTATGCTTCAGCCACTTAATGCAAATGACCAAAGCCAATCTCACCTTTAAGTCGTATTTCCTATACACAGATAAACGGTGGCTGAACACGTTCCTGGTAACAATCACGTATATTTCCACTCCGTCGACATTAAGCCGGTACATTCCCAAGAACTGAGGAAGAAGGGTTACCCCGTGGCATTCCACTATGTACTAGACAGGAAAGAGAGAGAGAGAGAAAGGAAAAACGGCCGTCAAAACATGGTGGATCACTGCGAAACTTGGCCTTTCTAACTGTGGGGCTCATTTAAAGTAGAATTTCTAATTCTTGAGGCTTTATTTTCAGAAAACAGTCACTTGGGTGTTGCTCACCCTTCAGGTCTGTGTTCTCCATATATATAAAAATTAAAACATTCAATCTTTAAAAAAACCTTTTTTATTAATTCTTTGTGAATTTCACATCATGTGCCCCATCCCACTCACCTCCCCATCCCTCCTCCAATTCACCCTCCGCCCTTGTAACTTCCCCAGCAAAAGAAAACAAACAAACAAACAAAAACAAAATAAAATCTCACCTTAGAAACTGCGGTAGAAGACGCAATCTTATCTAAAGCATCTAAAGATCTAAAGAGATACTGTTTTTTCAGTAGCTCAACTAATCCATAATGTCAAAATTGGATACAGAGGCACAAGGCAAGAAAGGAAATCCTTTTAGTTGCAGGGACAGCCCATCTAGGTTCTTCTTGTTCCCCAGAAGGCCTGAGGATGACCTCAGCCTTTGATCTTGAAGCTGGTGTGGTGGAGGTAACGAAGAGACTGCTGAAAGCCTGGTGCTAGGGGCCTAGCTATTCTGTTTCTCATCTAGACTTCAGTGGGCGTGAAGGGGCCTGAGCTACAAAGAAGCATCAAGTCTCAGGGTTGCAGACACAACATGACTTTGGTCATATGCCAACGAGCCACAAGAGGGAGCTACTTCCTCTTGGAAGCAGTTATTGATAAACTATGGGTATCACCACAGGGGCCTTCCCTGTAAACAATGGGGGAAGATTCTAAATGAGCCTTTTAACGTCTATGACACAGGGATGAAACCTCCAGGATAGCATCAACACCACAGTTCCAGTGTGGTGGGTGCCCTACCCACTGTGCTCCCCAACAGTCAAGGGTTGTAGTTTGGGTTATTCTGGTATGTGTATGTGTTGCACACACGGTGGCATGTGCCTGTGTGTCAGTGTACAGAGACCATCGAGGGCTTTGGGTGTCATCACCTTGAGGCAGGGTTTCTCACTGACCATCTACAAACTCACCGTCTTGGTTAAGCTTGTGGGCCAGGAAGCTCTCAGGATCTGCCTGTCTCTGTTCCCCTCAGTGCTGGGGTTGTAGGCACACGCAGCCTTGCTTGGCGTTTTACATGGGCAAGGGGGTTTCAAACCCGGGTCTTCACATCACCAAACAAGTGCTCTTGCCCATGGAGCCATCTCCCCAACCCCTATTTTGAGTCTTTGAAACATTAGCAAAAATGTTCTAATTGGACTTTTTAGTGGTAAACATTAATAAGCCTGGGGATATTTAACTTGCTAAAGAACAAAAAGTCCTTGGCTCTTCTCATTAGAACTGAACAGTGCCTATCTGGTTTTTGCTATTTAGAGTTCTGACAAATCTCAGAGATGCTCCAGTCCCTTTCCTTACAACTGAGCTGTCTACTTGAGCTCAGTCTAATTTCTTCCATCGAGTTTCATCTCAGCTTGTTACTTTAAATAGACGAGCGGACCCTAATTTGAAGCCAATAAATCGACTTGAGGTTTGCTAGTGCACAAGAGGTGGTTAATAGTTCTTGGCTGAAAAGGAAATTTCCCACAGCGATTTAAGGGATTAAAAAGTGTGTTGTTTGCCGGTAGGGAAGGTGGATGAGCGGGTCTTAACTCAGTCTGGGGGTATCCGTACTGCGCGAGGGAGGGAACAGGCTTGGGAACTAGGGAGATGAAGCACAAATCCTTGGGTAGCCATTTACATGCTGTGGGGTTTGGGGTAAGTTAACTAGCCCACTTTATATTTGAGTTTTACTTCCCAGAAAACGGAGTACCCAAAGGCCCACCTAGAATAAAGTTGTGAGGACGGCAAGGGAAAGCATTCCAAAGACCCCATGCCACCATCTGTACTGAACCCCACTCTTTCTCAGTTACCAATGATGGGAATGCAAGCTGTCACTCAAAACCTGGGAAAGAAACTGTAGCATCACATCTATCTGCCCCCGTTCCAAACTTCTCACAGCCACATCCTAGCGTCTGTTCTGGGGTCGCTCTAGGACAGGGATTATTTTTTGCAGACATGGAAGGCTATTAGAGGCCCCCAAGGCAGGGCAGTGGCTCATCACCTCTTCCACTCCCATTTTCATCCTTAAGAAGGTGTCAGGAATGATCGAGCACATGCGTAAGGACAGAGGTTCAATCCCAGTACTACAAAAACCGAGGCATGCCAAGATGAAAGTCTCTGTAGAGCCACAGAGAGCCTGGCTCCCAGAGGCTCTACCCATAGTCCCACTGACCCATGCTAAAGAAATTGAGTGGTACATGAAATCGCCAAGCTTTTGTTTCTGAAAATACGCCCACTACACACTACAGCTTCCCTGTCTCCAAGTCAGATAGATAACACGGCAAAAACAACCAACTCTGATGCATTCTGTCAACAAGGGGCACGTGTTCTCAAAGGTTCCGTTCCCCCATGGGGCTCTTTGATGAATACTTTGAAAAACACAGATTAAATGAACCTCACACTCCTGAGTGTATAAACACGTGCAAAGCCACAAATCACATCAAAGCCCACCTTTCCCATGTCAGTGCTGCCAAGCTGCATTTGATACTAAGAACGAAGGAAGAACTTAAGGACCAGCAGTTCTGCAGGAGAGAAAGTCGTACCCATTGGCTGGAGTTCTGGATGGGAGCCCGGGAAAGTGTTCCCGGTACTGAGTACTGGAGCTGACCCAGTAGACCCAGGCAGCTCTGCCCACAATCTATCTCTCTCTCTCTCTCTCTCTCTCTCTCTCTCTCTCTCTCTCTCTCTCTCTCTCTCTCTCTCTCTNCTCTCTCAGGTTTTTATTTATAGATTTATTTTATTTTATGCAATGAGGTTCTTGCCTGGTGCCCCAGGGTATCAGAAGAGGGTGTTGCAGCTCCTGGAACTGGAGTTAATGATGGTTGTGTGCCAGTGTGGGTCTGGGAAGAGAATGGAGGCCTCTGCGAGAGCAAGTGCCCTTAACCGATGAGACATCTTTCCATCCTTCTGCTCACAAACTCCTAACACCAAGGACAGAAACTTCTAGAGCACTGGTTCTCCACCTTCCTCATACGGTGACCCTTTTAACATAGTTCCTCAGATTGTGACCCCCCACCATAAAATTATTTTGCTATGACTTCATAACTGGATTTTTTCTACTGTTATGAATCATAAGGTAAATATATGACACATAACCCCGTGAAAGGGTCGTTCAACCCCAAGGGGTCATGACCCTCAGATTGAGAACCAGTGTTCTAGAGGCAACCTGCACACCAGCGATTCTAAGCCAATGCCTACAGACCACTCGAATACTACATGACCCAATCGCACGCTGCCAGGACCCATTCAAGAGCTGCGAGATCTCAGATGAAATGCCCCACTTCTCTGACTCCTGCATTTGGAAAACAAAACCATTTTCAAGGGAACAAAATGACTGACCACAGGGTTTTGATGAGCATGAGGGAGTGTGGAAGTAGTGTTTGTAATCTGGGTATTTTGGTTTCCCTGAAATCTTACCCCGCCTGGACTCTCAACATGCATTTATAAAACATGTTTACTGAGTATCTGTTGCATGCCAAGCACTGTGTGTGCCAGCATAACATGTAATAGAGAGACCTGGACTCTCTCTCCCCTTATACATCCTACAAAGGAGCCACTGGCAGGGAATGGCCTCTACTTCCTGTTGTCAGTTCTTCAGGTTGTCTCCAGTTTGGTTCCACTGCCTGCTTCAAACTGCAGCACAGGGTGAGGTTCAGGCTCCTTCCAACACCTCCCTCCACTTTATCCCAGGATCTACCTCAAGTTCCCAGGTACCACGGCCCCTGGAAGTACCTAGACAATGTCTAAGTGGGCTACAGATTCCTTCATGAAACTGAACAAAGACCCAAACACTCCCTCCCCCACAGGCACCAGCTGAGGCCAACTGGGGACCTGTGCAGATGCCTTCACTAGGTATTCAGTGGTAATGAGGGACTGATTAATCGTCCACTATTTTTGTTAAGGGTTAAAAGACCTACGTTTCAGAGAAGCAAACAGAAGTATTTAGAGAGAAACACTATATAGGTGTCATTTACTTCCAAATAATCCAGCAAAACCTCAAGATGATGTAAATTTCCTTCATGTTTGAAAAATTTTATATCAGAAAGTAGAACTCGGGGTCTGAGGAGATGGCTTAGTGAGTAAACACCCTTGCTGTGCATACATGAGCAGTGGAAGCCATGCAGGAATGGGGTGCATGAGTCTGCACAGGTTCCTTTCAACCAGAGGAAGAGCTAGGAAAATTCTTGGAGGTAGAAGGACCAGATGGTCCTATAAAAGCTGCCTCCCATAAGGGAGGAAGGCAAGGACTGAGAGCCGAGACTGTTCTCTGACCTCCACTGTCGTTCATACATACCCCTCCCTCCCTCCCTCTCTGGCTCAAATGAAGAAGGTGAACTGAACCCACGCCTGTATTTGGCTCATATCCTTCTTCACCTGTGACCTCTTGACCAGCTTCCTGACTGACTGCATTTGGTTTATGGCTTTCCTTGTCTTCCATTCACTCTGGAACTTCTGTCCCCACTACATTTGTCCTCTACCTCTTCAGGACCTCGCCCTCACTAAGATCATCAATGGCTCAGGGGTTGTAAATGTGGCAGATGCTTCTCAGTCTTCCCATAGAGCACGTGACCTTCTTCTAGGTCTTTGCTGTCTAATTTCAACTTGGCTTCTGAAGTACCTGTCTAGTTCTCTCTCTTGGTTCTGTTTCTTAACTTGCTGGCCAATTCTTCCTTCACCATGTGCC